AAATAAATCTCTGCTGTCATTTCTAACAGAAACTAAACCATGATATTGCATAAGGAAATAATAGAGGATGCTCAAATGTGATGAAGCATTATAGGAAAAATATGGAGCAGCATGAAGAAGACTGGGAGTTTTGAGAGAAAGATCACAATTTTATTTTTATTTATTTATTTATTTTTAAAGATTTTATTTGTTTATTTGACAGACAAGATCACAAGTAGGCTGAGAGGCAGGCAGAGAGAGAAAGAGGAGGAAGCAGGCTCCCTGCTGAGCAGAGAGGCCCATGCGGGGCTCGATCCCAGGACCCTGAGATCATGACCTGAGCTAAAGGCAGACACTTAACCCACTGAGCCACCCAGGTGCCCCTAAAGATCACAATTTTAAATGGGGATATTCAGTGTCTGATTGACTGAGAAGGTGACATTGAGTGAAGATTTGAAGATGATGGAGTAAACCATGCAAGTGTTTTTTGTTTTTTAAGGTTTTATTTTTAAGTAATCTCTACACCCAACATGGGGCTCAAACTTGCAACCCTCTACCCCCAACATGGGGCTCAGACGTGCAACCCTGAGATCAAGAATCACATGCTCTATTCACTGAGCCAGCCAGCTGTGCCTAAACCATGTATGTATTTGAGCAAAGGACACTTCTAGCCAGAGGAAGAGAGAGAGCAAAGATCCTGAGAATTAATGTGCCTGACTTGTTTGACCAGTCAAAAGGCCACTTTAATGTGGAGTAGAATGAGAGCACCTACTCTTTCCACACTCTGTTCCCTATCTATGCATAAATATTTTTCACAACCTCGACTATTAGGGAATGAAGTATCAGGAGTCACTATGATAATTTTATACCAAGTAGTCCTTCCCTTCCCTTGGCAATTTTTTATTTTTTTTTAGATTTTGACAAGCTCCTTTTGATCATTTTTAATTATCTCAAGAAGAAATATTTCACAGAAATATGGATATGTTGACTATTTAGGAATTGACATCTATTTTAATATAGGCCACTATAAATTAGATATAAAGAAAGGTCATCTTTAATAAAAAAGTTATCAATGTGAACAAAAATGTACTAATGTTTACTATTATAGCACAGGATATTAGAGCTATGTTAAAAACATTATCTAGGATTATAAGATAGGTACTTAAAGATCATTTAGGCCAACTCCCTACGTAAGGAAAAAAAAAAAAAAAGAGAGGAGCAAACTTTGAGATGTAATGGCTAAGGCTATTCCCCAAGACCACACAACTATTTGGTAGATAAACTAAATTTTAAATACAAGGCTCCTGATTTCTAATGAAATTCTCTTTCAAAAAAAGCTGACATAGTATGATCCCAAAGTTTAACTCATATTTCAAATTTGTTGTTCTTATATATGTGAGCTGTTTGTTTTTTCTTTCACCATTCTAAGCTACACATTTCCATGTTGAAAGATCATTAAAAGAATCATTATCTAACATAGTACAAAACAGGCAATTTGATTCTGTCATTATGTCCCATGTATTTTATCTTCAAATTATTACATAAAAATTTTTAGGCTCTTGGATAGCTTCTCTGTTCCCCTGCTTTCTGCCTTCAGCTACTTAATTCTTGCTGGCCTTGTTTTCCTTGGCAATTTTTTAAAAAGATACTATTTATTTATTTGACAGAGAGAGAGAGAGATCACAGTAGGCAGAGAGGCAGGCAGAGTGAGAGGGGGAAGCAGGCTCTGCGCTGAGCAGAGAGCCGGATTCGGGGCTCAATCCCAGGACCCTGGGATCATGACCTGTGCCAAAGGCAGAGGCTTTAACCCACTGAGCCACCCAGGCTCCCCTCCTTTGGCAATTTAAACAGCTGTGAACCCTGTCGGAATGCGAAAAGAGAATAATTGAGGAAGAGGTTGGTGCGGTGAGTATTTGAAAACTGATTAGTGCCGAGGGCCCTGCCCATTTTAAGATGCACAGTCAGCCTGCTCTCCACTGAACCTGTGCTGAGATTATGGTCAGCGAGGCATTCTTCCTTTCTCCCTGCAGTGTATATACTTCAGTACTCAATGGACTACACTTCTTTTGGAATGAGTCCAATTCTGATTATGAAGCTCAAGAAGACGTATTGATAATATTAGAAAGGGCTCATCCCAAAGTTTGTAGATGATCACAAAGTTTTCTGTGCTAATCTAAACAAATGTTATAATTAATGTTACAATTTTATATTGCCACCATCGCTATAGAATCTAAATTTATATAGACCAATGTAATTTATAACGTTTACCAAAATAGGTGGGTCAGTAGGTGGTACCTGTGATCAGTTTTACCGACTCTTAAAGAGCTAGTATAGGAATTCCATTTCCTTGCCTAGAATTTCTGGTTCTGTAGGAATAATTTTACATATAGTTGCCATAAAAATACTAATAAGGGCTTTTATAACTTCATTCATTGTCTTGATCCCTAAACTCCATTCTATATAGATTTTATATACCTCAGTTGGGAATTTTCTTGACAGAAAGTTTGGGCAGAGGAAATGTAGCTTTAGTAGTAGATGACATCTAATCTGTTTCCCTTTTCCTACAGTTTAAAGTTATTGATTACCTTGACCAAATGTCTTTTGGCCTTCTTTCAGTAGATGGATATCTTTGAATATTTAAAAAATGTATTTTAATGGATAAAGGGCTATATCTCTTTTTATATACAATTTTTTTATTTTTGGGGGGATGCTATTTTTTTTTAAGATTTTATTTATTTATTCAAGAGAGAGCACATGCCAGAGAGCACAAGCAGAGGGAGTGGCAGAGGGAGAGGGAGGAGCAGGCTCCCTGTTAAGCAGCGAGCCTGATGTAGGGCTTGATCCCAGGATCCTGAGATCATGACCTGAGCCGAAGGTAGCTGCTTTACTGACTGAGCCCCCCAGATCTCTTTATAAACATAAATTTTGAAGCTTAGCATTCACACAAAGCTGTACAAATCACAAATCTGTACCTTAGTAAGTTTTCACACAGTGAACTCAGTATATTATTAGCACCCAGCTCAAGAAGTGAAATATTACCAGAAACTTCCTAGTGTCCCTTTCTTCCCACCACAAGTGTATCGTTGTTCTGACTCATAACATACATTAACTGGCCTGCATTTGAACTTTACATAAACATAATGCATGTAGTGTATATNCATGTAGTGTATATGGCTTCTTTCATTCAACGTGATGTTTATGAGATCCATCCATGTTTTTACATGAAATTTTACTTCATTCATCCCCATTGCAGATTATTCTATGAATCACAATAGTTTGTGTTCTCCATTAGGTAGACATTGGGTTGTTTCTAGTTTTGGTCTAAAGAGTGCTCTTGTGAATATCTCTTATGTTTCTTGGTGAACATATGTATGCATTTCTCCTTAGGGGTGGACAGAGCTTTACTTACAATTGTTAACTTTACAAACATTTTATTAAGTTTTAATTATTTAATCAGTAACTTTCGAAGACCATTCTAAGCCTAATAAAAAACACTCGTTTACTCTGTAACGATTGTATACTTCCTAGAGAAAGTCCTAGAAAATGATCTAGGAATCTAAGAGAGTCATGAGTTTAATTCTAGATTTTCATAATGCCCTTCAGCCCAGAGATATTTCATGTTTTGGTATACTTCTTATCAGGTAGTTTCTTTTTAACCCTGACCAATGTACTTGAGTTCTTTTTTTCCCCACTGAGAACTCTTTAAAGCTGTCTAATACAGGGCTGCAAATTGGCTGCAAATGTATTATTAAACCAGTGTAATTTAAAATAAATACATAAAAGTACACACATAAATGTGTTTTTAATTTAAATTGATCGCTAATATTTTTAATGATGTCTGTTGAATTCTTGACAAATCCACAAAAATTTACTGTGCTTGGAGGTAAACTTCCAAAAGGTAAGGTACCTTCCCTTTACCATGACTTGACATTAAAAAAAAATACAATAATCCATTGATGATTTAATTTTTACTGATTTAAAAGCTTAAGGTTTAGTTCTTAATGGCTATTTTACAAATAAGTCATCATTCTGAACATACCATTGTATAACCTTTTTTTGAGAGGAAGGGGATTTTGAATTTTATTACAATTTCAGATTTTAAATTGTGAGCATAGTGCAGAGAACTCTCTGTACTCTTAACCAAACTCAGTAGTTTTTTAGCACTTTGTCCCATTTGCTCACTTGCTTTACATAAATGTATTTTTAAACAGTTTAAGAGTAAATCATAGATATCATTCTCCTTTAACCCAAATACATTGTTATGTATATCCTAAAGTATAAGAATATTCTATTACATAACTCCAGTATAGTTATTAAAGTCAGGAAATTTCACAAGGTTCCAGAACTAATTATGAAATTTAGTTATATTCAAATTTCTGCATTTCTCTTATTAATACCTTTTGTAGTGAGGTCCTCCCATCCCCCACCCCAAATCCAGGTTTAAGACTCAATCCAGGTTTACACATTTAGATTTTTCTTTAATCTTTTTTTAAAAACTATTTTAGAGAGAGAGAGAGAGGGGGAGGGAGAACAGGCGGTGGGGAGGGACAGAAGAAGAGAGAGAATGAGAATCTTCAGTCAGACGGATCATGACCTGAACCAGAATCAAGAGTTGCTGCCTAACTGCCTGAGCCACCCAGGCACCCCTTGATTTTTCTTCCATCTGAAAAGGTTGTTTAGCCTATTCATTTATTTAATTATTTATTTATTTGAGAGAGAGTGAGTGAGCACACATGCAAGTGCAGGAGCCGGTGAGGGGGAGGGCAGAGGGAGAGAATCTGAAGCAGACTGTGCACTGAGTGTAGAGCCCCATGCAGGGATCAGTCTCACGACCCTATCATGAGGTGAGCCGAAGTCTCATGTTTAACTGGCTGAGCCACCCAGGCTTCCTTCCTCACTCTGTTATTATGCAAGTGGGTGTGGATCTTTCATGACCTTAAAATTTGTGCAATATATATACTAATTTGTGGAATAGTCCTGTTTGTCTTTGATGTTTTCTCTTTTAATGACTGTTGTGAT